CCGGGCAGCAGTGCGGCCGGTCGGCGGTGTGCACGGCCTGGTGGCGCGCGAGGGCCGAGCTCTGGCTGAAGCTGCGGCCGCAGTGCGGACACGGGTAGGGCCGCTCGCCCGTGTGCGTGCGCTGGTGCGTCACCAGGTAGGAGCGGCGGCCGAAGCCCGCGCCGCAGAAGGCGCAGCGGTAGGGCCGCTCGCCGGTGTGGATGCGCCGGTGCGTCACCAGGTGCGACTTGTAGACGAAGCGCTTGCCGCAGTCCGGGCACGGGAAGGGCTTCTCGCCGGTGTGCGTGCGCTGGTGGATGGCCAGGTGCGAGCGGTACACGAAGCCCTTGCCGCACTCGTCGCAGCCGAAGGGCTTGACGGCGGCGTGGTAGCGCTGGTGCTTGGCCAGCCGCGAGCGGTGCGGGAACACTTTGCCGCAGACATCGCAGGTGGTCTCGGGCCGCCCCGCGGGGGCGGCCACCGCAGCCGGGAACGCCCAGGGCGCCAGCAGGTCCTCGCCGGGCTCCCGTCCAGTCAGGAAGGGCTTCGCCTCAGACCCGTCGGCCAGGATCCTGAGGCCCCCCGCGTCGGGCCCCCATCCCTCCGCGGTCTGCGCCGAGTCCGAGTCATCAGGGCCCCAGGTCCCCGGCACGTCCCCCACGCCATAGGCCGCCGACCACAGCCCAGGGGGCTCGTTCTCCTCCTCGGCCACCTCCGCCAGGAAGTCCTCGTCATCTTCGTCCTCGTGGTCCTCCATGTCATCAGTCCAGAACCAGGCCCCTGAAGAAGACAAAGGGCGAGCCCCGCCCGGGAAGAAGGTGAGGAGAGGCAGACCGCTGCCAGACCTCCCTGGAACCCTTCAACTCTCCCGCCCCGGGTCTCCCCTCGGGGGGGGGGGCAAGGCGCCTTCTTTGGCAGAAAGGGGAGGTGTGCACGCCCACCACCTGTCCTGGACCCGGGGGCAGTAAAGCCACCTCCTCCCGTGGTGGAGCTCTGTAGACAAGCAACCGGCATGCGGAGGAAGGCAGGGTAGGTGGCCCCCTAGCAAGGCTGGAGGTCCTTTACTCGTGGGCCCGTTGATGATCTCGACTAAGACCTCTCCAGATTTCCTCCCAGGCCTGTGGACCCTACTGGAAGGTAGCCAAGGTACAGAGAGGCTGAGCTTGTCTGCAGGTCCCTGTGAGACCCAAAGCTGATGGGGCCCTGTGCCCAGAAAAATGGCATACCCTGAGGTGTTTTCCCCAAAGCCTCCCGGGCTGGCCTGCTGGGTGGGCCTCAAGTGTGCAGCAAGGGCCGGCACTGATGAGCAGCTAAGCTTAGCCCACTGTGTCTCCCTCGTTCGGGGGCTTCTACACCAGCCTCAGGCTGGCCAGCAGCCAGGGGCCTTCCACCCCAGCATGGGGCCCAGGAGCAGCTGCCCCAGGCTGAGGAGAGAGCCCCAGAGGGCCTGGAGCGGCTGTCCCCACTCTCTCTCCCAGGAGCCCGGAGCTGTGCTGCCGCGGCTCAGATGCATGTGCCGAACAGCCCCCTTGGCTTGGCATTTTCTGATCGGCCCTGCACTGGGGAAACGGTCCCACATCTGCCAGGACCACAGGTGGCTTCCGAGTACTTCCCCTAACTGCAGGCAAGGACACCTTTTTGCCGTCCTGTCTGTGCTCCCCAAGCTACAGCCAGCCCCTGCCTTCTGTCCCCCCGGGGCGGGGCTGTGCAGTGTAGGGCACGCTGCGGAGTTGGGTCTGTCGGGGTTTCTCATCTGTAAAGCGGGTGCCGATCCACCTGCCATCACCACACACAAGGAGGGAACCATTGTTCCTGGAACAGGCACCACAGGGACCATAAGGGACAGCCTGGCCCCCGGCGTCCCAAAGCACTCACATGGCTGCCAGCATGAACAGGCTGCACTATGCCCACCTCAGAAGCCAGCGTCTGGAAGGGTCACACCCCCACACTGGGTAGGCATCCCTCCCCAAGGCTCTGGCTGGTGTTAGGGTCACCCAGTCGGGTAAGCCCGGACCACTGAGTGGCTACCCAGGCAGGAGGGGGAGCTGGCGCCCAGGAGCTGGCCAGGCAGCCTGCCTGCACCGCCTGCTCTGTCTGGTGTCTGTCCTAGTGGGAGGGCGACAGTTCTGGGGGAGCAGGCAGAGAGCAGGGCCTCGAGAGAGAAAGCCAGACCCAGACCCATGGGCCCGTTTCCGCCAGGACAAACAGGCAGCGGACAGGAAGATAAGAAAATAGGCTCTTTTATTTTTTCACACCTTGCAGGAGTGTCTAGGTTTCCTCTAGTTAGTGACGTTATGCTATTAGCATAAAAACAAGCTTCAAAAGGAAGACAAAATGGTCCTGTGACCAGCAGTGTCTATCTCCAACTCCCACCTAAGGTTGCAAATGGCCCTCTGAAAAAGCTACACCCTCGTGGGCTGCACAGAGAAGACCCACTTCCTCCTCACTGGGCACCTGGCTTTGTTTGGCAATGACCCTCCCCAAGTCTGGGGAAGAAGGGGCACCCCCAAGGGCGGGCAGAAGCCGGCAGTGGCAGAGACGGGTTGGGGACGGCTTCTGTGAGTCTCAAAGAGGATTTGACCTTGAGACTCTGAGGAGGGTTCCTTGAGGCGTTTTTAGTCAGAGATGCCCCCCACCCCGTCCAGGGCAGGCAGGACAGATGCAAGCGCAGTATCTTCGTGGGCTGTGTCTGGGTGCCTCAGGGCGTAGCCGAGGACCCATCAACACTTGTACCCACGTCCCCAGACATCAGAGTTGGCTGCACCCCGAGACAAGACTCAGGAGGTAGCAGAGCCATCTGGGGGACTCAACGGGAACCCACAGGAAGACCCTGAGGCCAAGATTGGTTCACGTTTCTGCGGACAGGGTGGCCCAGTCTGAAGGGGGGACACTCAGGCTGGGGTGGGGGAGGGTTCTGAGGGAAGGTGCTGGTTCTCAGACCCAAGACTCTCTTTTGGGTCCAAGTGAGTGCTGTTCAGATGCCCCCAGCCAGGGGGACAGGGTGTGCCGGGGAGGAGCAGGGGGGAGGCGTGGGCAGGGTGGGCCAGGCCCAGCAGGGCTGCTCCTCTGGTGCCTGGGAGGCCTGTCCAAGGGGCGAGGAGAAGGGAAGCAGGTCTGGCGAGGGGAGCCAGGCTTCATTTCCCGCTATCTCCTGCAAAGGACTTGACCTTGGCAGTGACTGGGCTGGGCACCTGGGCAGACCCTGAGGGACGACAAAGGGTTTCTGGACCAAAGGCAGAGCAGGGGTACAGGGCTGGCCATTTGGGGACAGGGACCTGGCAGGGCCAGGCACGAGTCCTGACTGGGGATGGGCAAGACTGGCTCACACAGATTTCTGGCCTCTGTGACAGGCAGTACCAGGGGCTGATGGACAGTGCCCACCTGAGGCTGGTGGTCAGCCTGCCTGCAGGCCTTCCTCAAGGCACACACTCCACCCCGGGGCAGAGGTCTGCCGGGTGAGGACAGTGGGCACTCACGAGGGAGGGAGGGACCCCGTACCTCAAGCCAGGTGAGGAGAGAGAAGGCGGGAGTGGGAGTAGGCGGATGGCCACAGGCGCACTGCCATGGTGGGCCAGGACAGGACAGAAGGCCAGAGTGGAGTGGGGCCTTCAGGATGTGGTGGGCCCAAGAAAGAGGACTTGGCCAGAGTCCCAGATTTACGTGTGGTCCAACTTATCAAGAAACACAGAGGAGTCTGCAGAACACAATGGTTGTCTTGTAAAACTCCAAGACCGAAACACCGTCAGGCTCGGAACACTCGGCGTCTGCCCTGCCTGCCCTGCCAGCTCCGGCCCAGCCCGGCTGACCGGAAACGCATGCAGGAGAATGGGTGGGGGTGGCTAACAGTCACAATCACCGAGGGAGGCTCACAGGCGGGGTCCCTGCCTGAACTGAACCACAGCCTGTTACCGCAGCCTGTCCACGTGGCCGTGAGGCACACCCAGGACACTGAGCCTCGAGCCGCTGTGAGCTCTGGGGACGGTTACAGGAGGTGTCCCAGGTTCACCAGTGACTACCCACAGGGAAAAGCAGAGGGACCTGCCAGTGACCCTGTCGCGAGGTGCTCAAGCACAGGTCGTGTGGTGCGGGTCACCCATACTCAGGACCTGGGATGGACTGAGTTGGGTCCCCAAAATATATGTGCTGTAAATCCCGACCCCCGGGATACACCCCCGTCCGGGGACGGGCTGGTCAGGTTAACGACCCTCCACAGAATGGGGGATCACCAGCCGATGGCTTTTAGGAGCCGCTTCGACAGAGAATCAAACAAGGACAAACGGGGTGATGGTGGCACGTGGAGGCACCGAGGAACACAAGGTGACGAGACGAGGCCCGCCCCCAGAGCTGAGAGGGAACGCCTCCCCTAGAGCCAGGCCCAGAATCTGGACTTCTAGCCTCGTGCACTGACGGGGAAGCCGCCATCTGTGGTATGTGTGTTACAGCAGCGCCAGGAGGCTGAGACAGGTCCTACGGCTGCTCGGGGTGCACCCGAAGAGGGTGGGGCTCTGGATGGGAACAGGTCCATGTCCTGCTCTGTCCCCATTAAACCACTTCTCAGTGCCCCCAAAAGAAAGAAACCAGGATAAGACCCCAGGCTGGAGCCTCCCCAGCACCCTCCAGGCGCCACGGCCTGGCGTCGGACAGTGCAAGCCTGCGGCCCCACTGCCTCCAGACAGATCTTCTGAGACACGCCCTAACTGGTGGGCCTCCCTCAGCTGCTCTGAGAAAGGACCCCGTTCCCGGCCCCCGCACAGAGACAGCGGCGGCACTGCTCGCTGCCCAGAGCCCCCGCCTCACCCCCCAGATTCTGAACGCCAAAAGGTCCCGGGGAGGGTGGAGAGCCCCTGAGGCCGGAGACCAGAGCCCCGACCCCACCAGAGACCGGTCACACCACGACCACCGTAAAAGTCAAGCTCATCTAAATGGGAGAATAATGATCCCTCGCGGGCTACGTCCCAGGGGGGGTTAGCAGCACAGAGACAGAATGGGAGAAGCCTGAACAGTCAACGTGCACCTGCGCTGCCACTCACGAGTTCTTCTGTATTTTTATTTTAAAACATCTGCTCCCTGCTCTGAGTCCACCGAGCCTGTGTCAGGCCTGCTGATACTCCGGGCACCCTCTGCTGTTGCTATTGCTCTGTGCCCTTGAGCCCCCTCTAGGTAGTCAGGCAGTTAATGCACTGGGCTGCGAACCGGAAGGCTGGCAGTTCGAATGCCCCAGCAGCTCCACGAGAGACAGACCCAGAGATCTGCCTCATAAAGATTACAGCCTAGAAAACCCCATGGGGCAGCTCTACTCCATCTCGTGGGGTCAGCGACGACACCCAAACGACAGTCTCGAGAAGTCCCCGGGAGGCAGGCAGGCAGTGTGCTCGGCTGCTGACCCGGGGGCTGGTGGTCTGAGTGTACCTGCAGGGCCTGGGCATCGACTTCCCTAAAGTCTGCCCTTAGCGGACATCAAGAACCTGAGCCGACTTGTCAACAACTGATTTCTTTAAAGGTCTCTAAGCACATTCCATGGAAGTGCTGGTGGCATAGTGCCTAAGGCACCTGACTGCTAACCAGCAGGCTGGTGGTTCAAACCCACCAGTCACTGCGCAGAACAAAGACCGAGCAACCTACTTGCATAAAGATAACTGCCTCGGAAACCCAGCGGGTCGTCATGAGTCAGAATTGACTCAATGGCAGCCAATTTGGTTTGGTTTTTCAAGCACCTTCCAAGGAGCCCTGGTGGCATAACAGTTAACTGCTAGCTAAGCTGCTAACTGAAAGGTCAGTGGTTTGAACCCACTAATGGCTCCATGGGAGAAAGAGGTGATCTGTTCCCATAAAGACTCCAGCCCTAGAAGCTCTACGAGGCAGCCCTACTCTGTCCTACCTGGACGTCACGAGCCGGAATCGGCTCAACGGCACTCCACAAGGACTTCCAGACCTTGGGCTTCTAGGGGCCAGAACCGAGGGGCAGAGGCAGAGGCTTGGAACAGGGCTTGCCTGGTCCCTACGAGGCCCCCTCAACGCCCCAGAACATTTGCACTGGGAACCCCATGAAAGCTCGTTGCGGCCCACTTTCTGATGAGCTCCAAGATGCTGTGGAGGCAGAACCCCGGACCTCTCGCTCGTGCTCACCTGTGTAGACGCCAGTGACGATGTCTCCCTCCTCGGGACGTGGGCTGTCTGGAACCCATGGTTCTTCCCCTTGTTCCAGCCGGAAGATCAGATCCGGCTTGGGGATCGGGTACCCTGCCCAGAAAGGACACAGGCGGTGGTTCAGGGCTGCGGCCGGCCATCCTCACCCCATCTCTGCCACCTGCTTCTCGTCTCCCCTTCTCCACCCAGCCTCCTGGGGACATGGGGCCCTTCCTTACCCAGAGACACCAGGATACCATAGTTCTCTTGCATGACGTCCTTGTAGAGGTCCCGCTGGCCTGCGTCCAGCCCGTGCCACTCCTCCAGGGTGAAGTACACCGCCACATCCTCAAAAGTCACCAGCCCCTGGAGAACAAAAGCCAGGACACTGCCTCTGTGGCCCCAGGTGGGGAACAGAGCAGCACTGGGGGCCCGCCGAGGGGACAGGCTGAGGCCCTGCGAGGGGGCTCTCATGGGGACACCCCCAGGCCCCCACTGGGGGGTTTAAACTGCCAGCGGAGCAAGGAGTCTGTCAGGCCTCTGCACAGCCCTGGAAGCGGGACCCCAGTCCTGGTTCAGAGACGGGAACTCGGGCCTGCAGAGGTGAGGGCACAGCCCTCTGGGACTTGTGCTGAGGCCAGGAGACGACAGAGCCTAACAGCCCCTGGCCCTCTGGGGCTGACCGCCCCCCAGCCCGCCCCTCCTCCAGTCTGGTTGAAGCAAATGCCATGGTCCCATCAGCTGTGTCAAGGCCCACTCTGGGGGGGACAAGTGGTGTCCAGACTGATGGCTGGCCAAACCCAGGCCCTGAACAGGTGACACCTCTGTAGACAGAGCGGCCTAGACCTCAGGGCAGAGCCTGCTGTCACGGATAGTACTGCTGAGCTGTGGCAGGCAAAGCGTTGGGGACACTCCAGTGGCCGAGGGATGGCCGGGTCCCAGGAAAGCAGAGCCGACGGCCTGTCAGCGTGGGGTGAGCCTCCAGCAGCTTCCCGTGGCCCCAACCAGCTCAGAGCCAGGCCAGGCCTGAGCACCCCAGTGCCCGGCTGCTGCCCACAGGGTCCCCAGGGCAGCGAACACCAAGGCCTCAGCTCCCCTGAGAGGGGGCCGCTCACCTGGGAGCTAGCTGTCAGGAGGTGATTCTCGGTCACCTCCTCTTCCTCTTCCTCTTCTTCCTCCTCCTCCTCCTCCCCCTCCTCCTCCTCCTCCTCCAAGTCTTCATCCCCAGGAAAGGCTGGAGCCTGAGACGTCTGCAGGGCTGAGGGGAGCCATTCCTTAAGAGCCGCCTGCCCTCTGGCATCCGGCCTCGCTGCTCCCGACTGCAGCCCCGGGCCTGGCACTCAGGCCCCCGCTCCTCCCACGGCTCGCTGGCTTCCTCCCCCGCTGGCTCCTTCTCCTTACCATTCTCCTGCAGCCCTGGGGACTTGGCGTCACGGCCTCTGCTCAGTGGCTCCTGGGTCCCCACCACCGCGCTCGGCTCCTCGGCCGTCACCTCCTCCACCTCCTCGTCCACCTCCTCCACCACCTGCACCTCCGCCACCTCCTCCTCGTCCTCCACCACGACCTCGTCTTCCTCCTCCTCCTCTTCCTCCTCCTCCTCACCAGGGCTGCAGCCCGCCCCATCTTCCGCCCTCTCCAGCTGGGCGGCCGGGGCATCTGGTGGCGTGCGCAGGGCTGCCATGTCCGGGAGGGAGTCTCAGCTCAGCCTGCAACAGAGGCGCCCAGGGGTCACCTCGTGCCCCTACACACGGGGCCGCCTCGCAGGCCTCCCACAGCCCTGGGGAGGCAGCTTTATCTCGTCCCCACTGAGGCTGACGGAGGACTGGGGCCCCTCGTAACATCGTCACCCAACCAAGACGGGGAAGCAGCAGGGCTGCCCAAGCACCGGCCTCCCCAAACAGCCTGTCCACGGCTCCAGCTCCTCCTCGCCAGCCACCCGTGCCGGGGACGGATGGAGCCCTTTCTTAGGGGAACTCAGACGTTCCCCGAGTTCTTTTATCCTCATGGGCAACACCGGGTCCAGGCAACACAGCCCTCAAGGGGCCCGTGTTTAGCTTCCAGGGTGAGTGCAGCCTGCAAGGAGGAAGGAGGTGCTCACCAAGGCGCCCGCACGTGGACTGGGCTGGAGGAAGCGTCGCGGTGGCCCCGCGGGCAGCAGTGGCAGGCACGCGGGGCGGGGACGGGACAGGCGAGGCGCCCCTGGTTTCTTCAGGTCGCAAGTCAGCCCTGTGCCCCCATTCACGCTGCCTGGGAAGCCAGCAAGTGGGGCTCCTTCCTGCGAGAGGCGGGAGAGCAGAGGGCAGGAGTGGCATTCGCTTCCGTGTCTGCCCAGAACGCTGGCCCTGCTGAGGGCGTGTGCGTGAAAGCTCTGCAGCCCCTGGAGGCTTGGTTCAGGGTCGGATCAGCACCGGTGACAGAGAGCTCCCTGGGACGGTCCTCCAAGTCAATGGCTTCTGGGGCTGAGCTGTCAGGTCCCCGGGTTCCCAAGACCCCCTCACAGCCAGGTCACAGCTGGCCCATCACGCCCAGAGGGGACACAGGCACACGGCCATGGACCCGGGGAGTGGAGAGGGGCTGGGGGCTGCAGACTTGGGCGCCCTACCCCCAGTGGCGTGTGCCTGGCCAGCTCCCATGGCATGCCTGAGGGTAGGACAGGGTCGTGGGTTTGGCAAGTCACTTTTTACGGTTCCCTTTTGAGCATTAATCTAAGAACAGTCCCTCCCCAAGGACCTGCCCCATTGGTCTCTGCCTGAGCGAGGCATTTCCAAAGGGACAGATTAAGCTGACAGCGAGCCAAGCCCACTGAAAACACACCACAGCCCCGGATCCTGGGCATGAGTGCATGAATCCAGAAAGATCTGGAAACGTCAGGCCACAGGGCCTTGGGCCAGCTCATAGGCTCCATCAGTGGACAGTGTCTGCCAGAGAACCCCTAAAACAGGATGAGGGGCCCTGCAGGAAGATACCCTGGGTGACAGGGACAGCTCAGACCACTGGGCAGTGTCTCTAACTAGACACACACACAAGTTGCTCAGACACACGCAACCCTGTAACTTCGCTTTGCCCCGAGCGGCAGCTGCACTCATCCCCAGCTGCGTCTGGGCCCCATTCTAGATGCCAGACTGCACGAGTCCAACTCCAGGCATCACACGGGCCCTCGGGGCAAGCCCACGTCCAGAGGATGGGCCCCAGGCACCCAGAAAGCACCCCGAACACACCCTCACACCTCCTGCCTTGCAGCCTCTGGCCCTCATCCCAAGTTCAGAACCACTGAACCCAAAGGCTCGGGCCACAGAACATGCCCAGCAGGGCCACGTCAGCCTCCAGCCTCTCTGGAAGCTTCCACAACTCTCTGGGCACGTGGAGGTGCCTGAGGCGTAGGCACGTCACCTCCAGGACACAGTGCTGGCGAGCACAGTGGGCACCGAAGGCAGCCAGCCTGGGTTTCCCAACTGCCACCCACCTCACACCCAGAGAAGGACTCTTCTAACCCAGGCCTCAGGCTGCAACTTCGCTTGAGCCCAGATACCCTGCCAAGCCACCAGAGCAGCCACTTCCAACTCCCGTAGGCCAGGCCACCATACCCAAGGGCTCAACAAAAGAAGAGGCCATGGCTTTGGGATAAAGTGGCCCCACGCTCACCCCGTCTCAGGGCCTTTGCACGTGTGTTCTCACTCCCGGGGACTCTCTCTGATCCCCCAAAGGCAGCTCCCAGGCCCCAAACCAGATGGGTGCCCTGTACATACGGTTCCTCTATTCTTCCTCACAGCTCTCATCTCACTGTTTTACAAAACCCACGGCCATCAAATTGATCCTGACTCACAGTGACCCTACAGGACAAAGCAGAACTGCCTCGTAGCGTTTCTCCAAAAAGACCTCTTTGAAGTCTTAAAAAGCAAAGCTGTCACTTTAAGGACTAAGGCACGCCTAACCCAAGCCTTGGTATTGTCAGCTAGCTGCCTTGGATGCATGCAAAAACTGGACAGTGAATAAGACTGCAGAAAAATCGAGGCCTGTGGATTATGGTGTTGGCGAAGAGTATGAAATACACCATGGACTGCTGTCTTAGAAGAAGTACTGCTTGAAAGTGAGGACGGTGACGCTTCATCTCATGTGCTTGGGACATGTCATCAGGAGGGACCAGCCCCTAGAGAAGGACATCATCAAGTACAGGGTCAGCAAAATGGAGACCCTCGATGAGATGGACTGGCACAGTGGCTGCAACGGTGGGCTCACGCGCAACAACGGCTGGGAGGCCGGTGCAGGACCAGGCAGGGTTTCGTTCTGCTGCGCGGAGGGCTGCTATGAGTCAGAGCCGACCGGGTGGCCCCTGACCGCAATCTTCACAGAAAGGAGCTTTGGTGGTGCAGCGGCTAAGCACTCAGCTGCTAACAGAAAGTTTGGTTTGAACCCACCAGCCGCTCTAAGGAGAAAGATGTGGCAGTCTGCTTCCATAAAGGGAGCCCTGTTGTTGTTGTTGTTATGTGCTGTCGAGTCGACCCCGACTCATAGCGACCCCTCCTTGGGTTTCCGAGGCAGTATCACTACGGAAGTAGGATTGCCCAACCTTCCTTCCGAGGAGTGGCTGGTGGGTTTGCCCTGTGGAGCCGCTCTATTCTGTGCTATAGGGTTGCTACGCGTTGCCACTGACTCCATGGCAACGGGTTTGCACTTTGGTTTTCAGAATCTTTTCCGAAGCAGACTGCCACATCTCTCTCCCGCGTTCAAACAGCTGAACTATCAGCGAGCAACTGAGCACTTAACGACTGTGCCAGCAGGGCTCCTTATATACATGTTGATTTGTCTGCTGTTGTCAGTCTCCCAGGGAACACAGTCAACTCCAGGAAGGCAGGGACGCCCTCAGCTCATCCCGGAAACCCCCCATGGCCGACACAGCAAACACTCCCATGTTTAGCGTAAAAGTGACTACAAAGACGTGCAGCTTTTTAAACTCGTTGTTTTGGCGTTACTGTCATATCCCAGAGGAGCTGTGGTGGCACACTGTTTAAAGCACTCAGCTGCTAACCAAAAGGTTGGCGGTTCCAATGCACCAGCAGCTCTGAGGGAGAAAATTGTGGCCGTCTGCTTCTGTAAAGATTGACAGGCTTGGAAATCCTATGGGGCAGTTCTACTCTGTTTTATAGGGTCACTATGTGTTGGAATTGACACGATGGCAGTCGGTTTGGTTTTGGTTACTTCTCAGAGAACAGACTGACTGCTGCTGGTGGTACCTGAACTGGAACCCACCTCAGAAGCACTAAAGACATTGAACAAAGCCCTTTTCCCACCAAGTTCTTCCACTGGTGACAGAGGCCAGCAGTCCCCACAGACAAACCAGGGGTACAGGTGCTGCCAGAGCCCGCAGTCCCCCAGACTCCAGCCCGGACCCAGTACGCAGAGTGTACACTCCGTACACACAGGCAGAGTGTACACTCAGGCAGAGTACACAGGGTGTACAGTCACACGCCTCGGGGCCGGGGTTGCTCCCGTGGCCAGCTCTGTGTTGGACAGGCTCCGTAGACCCACAGCCCATGAGCCCACCTGGAACACTTCACTCTTCTCCAGGTCAGAAGTCGCCAGGGGTCAGGTAAGCAGCCCCCTCAACGGGCCACGTGAACCCTCCTGGGCGCCGCTGGGCCCCTGCTGCAGGAAGTTCAAACTGGATGGGACAAGATGCCACCATGGGGAGAAGGGAGGAAGGCAAGGCCTGGAAGGAGCGGCAGAGTTTGAAGACAAACGCTCCAGGAAGATCCCAAATCCAGGGGAACCAGGCCCAGAGGTGGGCGGAGGTGCAGAGGGTCCCTGGACCACACCCTACTATTCTCCTCCGGGAAGCCTTCCACCCTGAGCACAAGACCCTCACTGCTGCAGCCGGGCTCCCCTTACTCTACTCGATTAGCTCCTGGTGCAAGGCTACCCATGGGGCCTCCCAGCTCCCCTCCTGCAAGCACACCCGCCAGCTCCCCAAACCAACCAACACTTGTTGAACCATCCCAACTGGCAAGGCACAGCTAGGGGCAGGACCTGCTTGGTACCTGCACATCTCTCCCGCCCCTGCCCATCGGCCCTCCCAAGCTGGGCTCCGCAGGCCTGAAGCCCTGCCCCTATGGCACACAGGTGCCATGCAGGTCAACCCAGACCCCATCCAAGCCCGGTCCACCAGCCCAGCCGGCAGTTAATGGCGCGCCATTGAACAGTCCGCTGGGGACTCCATTTGCAGAAGAGACAGGGCTCAGACCAGGCCCCCAAGGTCACAAAGCGAACCCGAAGGGGCGCCTGGCCTCCAGGGCCCTTCCAGCACCCGGGCCCCTCCTCCTGCGGAGGCCATGGCACAGGCAGGTCCCCTGGATGGGTGTGTCCTGGGCGACCGCGCCCGACCCCCGCCCTC